TGGGGGCGGTGGGGCTGGAGGAGGGTGAGTGTGTGAGTGAGTGTGTGTGTCTGAGTGAGTGTGTGTGTGTGTGAGGTGCTCCTGCTGTCAGCCTTTATACCCTCCAGGTGTGTTTGTTGTCCCTGAAGGAGGCCCCACGCCCTCACTTCCTGTTTGATGTGTTCTCTGGTGAGGACTCTCATTCAGCTGGTTCCACTGTCATGAGATGTCCTTGCTCAACTCCTGACACTGATGATGCTGGCAGGGCACCGAATCCTGGCCTGAGTCCGGCCCCGCTGGACACCTGGCAGAAACGTGCAGCCTCCCCGTGGCTGACCCCGTGGCTTCCCCTGGTGGGTCATGTGCAAGGGGCCCTCTCCAGGGCTGGAGAGACAGCTCCTGGCCCATGGTGACATGTGCTCTGTTGGTCCGCATTTTTTGTTTAGAGCCTCATCTGGGACAGCTGGCCTGGCCTGCGACTGGGGAGAAGTGGATGGTGTGTCTATTAGGGGAAAAGGCAACGTGCGGACAGGCCCCTCCTGGTGGGCTCTGTGAGCTTCCGTGGTACCCATGTGAGCAAGACGGATGAGGCCTGAGGACCGGAGAGGACCTTCCCTTCCTGAAGAAGGAAATGGAACTTTCTATCGAAGCCAGCGCTCCCTGGTTCATTAGGAGAACCAGATTCAGGGACTGAAATTTGAGTCCTAAGCCACGTCCTGCAGAGCCGTGGTCAGTTACCTGAGAGAGGCAGGTCCTGTGTCATGCTTTCAACCGGAGACAAGAGAGGGTCCGGGTGGTATGAAGCTGAAGGAAGACCCATCATTGATGTAATTTCCATCAAAACCCACAGGGAATCTTTTTCATGGACAAATTGAGGATACTGAACTGCCAGGAAATGTTTGCAATTTGTGCAATAGATAAAAGGTTGATATGAAAATTTTAAAGACCTTAAACTAGAACAATAAAGATATAAAAGAATCAAACAAAATTTAAAATATTCAAATTTCCAATAATCATATGAAAAGCTACTTGATCTCAATAAATAGTTTCCCATATTAAAACATAAATGTCTCACCTGTAAGATCATCCAAGATTTACAAAGCAGATAACTTCCAGTACCACTGGCCATGAGGGCCTCACCCTTAGAAGCCCCTTAGCTGACGTAATTTTTAAAAATTGTGATAACAAATAATACAAAGTTTATGATTTTGTCCATTTTGAAGTGTAGAATTCAGTGGCATTTAGTACAGTCACATGCACAGCCATGCCCACCATCCAGAACATTCTCATTACTTTAAAAGGAAATCCTTGAGGGAGGGAAATAGCTCAGTGGGAGAGCACATGCTTAGCATGCAGGAGGTCCTGGGTTCAAACCCCAGTGCCTCCAAAAAAAAAAAAAAAAAAGGAAATCCTGTGCTATTAAGAGTCCCTCCCAGCCGCCTTCAATCAGTAATGTGCTTTCTGTCTCTACAGGTTGCCTATTTTGCACATTTCATGAAGCTGGAGATTCATACAATCTGTAGGATTTTGTGTCTGACTCCTTTCGCTCAGCAGGATGTTTCCAAGGTTCATCGACATTGGAGCATGGATCAGTGCTTCATTCCTTTTTAGGGCTAATTGTCCATCAAACAAGAGATACCACATTTTATTTATCCATTCATCAGTTGATGAACATTTGGGTCATTTCCACCTTTTGGCTAATGTGAATAGAGCTGCTGTGAACATTTGGTACAAGTTTTTGTTTGAACACCTCTTTTTAATTCTCTTGGGTGTATACCTAGGGGGGGAATTGCTGGGTCAGATGATAACCCTATGTTTAACGTTTCGAGGAACTGCCAGACAGTTTTCCACGGGAGCTGCACCGTTTTGCGTTCCCACCAGCAATAAACAAGGATTCCAACTTCCACACACTTGCTCACACTTTTCCTTTATTTCTTCCTCTCGCCTATAGCCACCCTAATGAGGGCCATCTCCTTTTGGTTTTGATCTGTATTTCTGGAATGCCAATGATTTTGTTCTCCCTTTCATGTGCTTCTTGGCTGTTCGTATATCTTCTCTGAGGAAATGTCTGTCAAGGTGCTTTGCCCATTTTTAATTGCTGTCAGATTTTAGGATTTCTTTATGCTTTCCGAATACTAGCGCTTTATCAGGAGTATGATTTGGTAATAACGTCTTCCATTCTGTGGGTTGCCTTTTCACTTCCTTGACAGTATCCTTCAATTACAAAATTTCCTAATTTTGGTGAAGTCAAATTGATCTGTTTTTCCCACGTGGCTTGTGTTTTTGGCGTCGTATCTAAGAAACTGTTGCAAAATCTAGGGTTATGCAGATTTACCCCTATGTTTTCTTCTAAGAGTTGTAGTTTTAGGTCTTATAATAAAGGTTTTGATGTACTTGGAGTTAATTTTTGCGTATGGTGTGAGACAGGGTTCAACTTTATTCTTTTGCATGTGATTCTTGCTAGAACTTCCAGGACAGCGTTGAACAGAAGTGGTGAAAGTGGGCATCCTTGCCTTGTTCCTGATTGGAGGGGGGACCCCTTGCCTTGTTCCTGATTGGAGGGGGGACCCCTTGCCTTGTTCCTGATTGGAGGGGGGACCCCTTGCCTTGTTCCTGATTGGAGGGGGGACTCCTTGCCTTGTTCCTGATTGGAGAGGGGGACGTTTTCCGTCTCACCGCTGTGCATGACGTTTGCTGTGGGTTTTCCTTTTGCTCGCTACGATGTTGAGGAAGTTCCTTCTATTCCTAGTTTATCGAGTATTTTTATCGTGAAAGAGTGTTGGCTTTTGTGAAATTCTTTTCCTGTTATCAGTTGAGATAATCGTGTGGTTTTTTTCCTTCATTTTATTTATGTGGTGCATTACGTTGACTGGTTTTCATACATTCAATCACTTTTGCATTCTTTGGATAAATCCCACTTGGTTGTGGTGTATAATCCTTTTAATATGCTGCTGGATTTTGTATGATTATATTTTGTTGGTGATTTTTTATCTATAAGAAATTTCAGTCTGAGGTTTTCTTTTTTTGTCTTTGTCTGGTTTTGGTATCCTGATACCAAAATGATACTGACCTCTTAGAATGAGAAAGTGTTCCCTCATCTTCTGCTGTGGGGGAAGTTTAAGGAAGATTAGCGCTGGGGATGAGAGCATAGCTCAGTGGTAGAGTGCATGCCCCATGTGCCTGAGGTCCTGGGTTCAATCCCCAGTACCTCTGTTAAAAAAAATGAATAAAGCCAATGACCTCCCCCCTCAAAAAATGAAAAAAATAAATAAAAGTTAAAAATAAAATAGCTGGACAAAGCAGGTTTTAAAAAAGGGATTGGTGTTGATTATTCTATAAATGTTTAGTAGAATTCAGCATTGAACCATTTTATCCTGGGCTTTTCTTTTTGGGGAAATGTTCAATTACTGATTTAATCTTGTTAATTGTTTTATGTCTATTTAGTCTTTTTATTTATTTTCTTTCAAGTATGGTGTACAATACAGGTGTACAGTATAGTAATTCACAATTTTAAAGGTTATACTCCATTTACAGTTATTATAAAGTATTGGCTATGTTCCCTGTGTCATACAGTATATCCTTGGAACTTATTTTATATGTAATAGTTTGTACCTTTTAATTCCTTGCCCCTATATTGCCTGAACCCCGTCCCTCTCCCCACTGGGAACCGCTAGTTTATTCTCTATATCTGTGAGTTTGCTTCTTTTTTGTTATAGTCACGAGTGTTTTGCATTTTTTAGATTCCACGTATAAGCGGTATCATACAGTATTTGTCTTTCTCTGTCTGACTTATTTCACTTAGCATAATACCCTCCAGGTCCATCCATATTGTTGCAAATGGCAAAGTTTTGTTATTTTTTATGGCTCAGTAGCATTCCATTGTATGTACATATACTACGTCTTCTTTATCCAGTCATCTGTTGATGGGCACTTAGGTTGCTTCCATAATTTGGCAATTGTAAAGAACGCTGCTATGAACCTTGGGATGCATGCATCTTTTAAAATTACTGCTTTCATTATTTTTAGGTGTATACGCAGGAATGGAATTACTGGGTCATATGGTAGTTCTATTTTAGTTTCTTGAGAAACCTCCATACTTTTCCATAGTGGCTGCACCAATTTACATTCCCACCAACAGTGTACAAGGGCTCCCTTTTCTCCACATCCTAGCCAACATTTATTATTTGTGTTCTTTTTGATGACAGCCATTCTGACAGGTGTGAGGTAAAATCTCATTGTGGTTTTGATTTGCATTTTCCTGATGATTAGCAGTTTTGAGCATCTTTTCATGTGCTTGTTGGCCGTCTGGATGTCTTCTTTAGAGAAATGTCTGTTTAGGTCTGCTGTCCATTTTTTGATTGGGTTTTTTTTAATATTAAGGTGTATGAGCTGTTTGTATATTTTGAAAATTAGTCCCTTGTGTGTCATGTCATTCACAAATATTTTCTCCCATTCTGTAGGTTATCTTTTTGTTTTGTTTATGGTTTCCTTTGCTGTGCAAAACCTTTTAAGTTTAATTAGATCCCATTTGTTTATTTTTGCTTTTATTTCTATTACTCTAAGAGCTGGTTTGAAAAAAATATTGCTGAAATTTATGTCAAAGAGTGTTCTGCCTATGTTTTCCTCTAGGAGTTGTATAGCGTCTGGTCTTACATTTAGGTCTTTAGTCCATTTTGTGTTTATTTTGTCCAGGGTGTTAGAGAATGTTTTAATTTCATTATTTTACATGTAGCTGTCCAGTTTTCCTAACACCACTTACTGAAGGAACTGCCTTTTCTTCATTGTATATTCTTGCTTCCTTTGTCATAGATCAATTCACCATAAATGCGTGAGTTTCTTTCTGGACTTTCTATCCTGGTCCATTGATCTGTGTGTCTGTTTTTATGCCAGTACCATACTGCTTTGATTGCTGTAGCTTTGTAGTGTAGTCTGAGGTCAGTGGGCATGATGCCTCGGGCTCCATTCTTCTTTCTTAAGATTGATTTTGCTATTTGGGGTCTTTTGTGCTTCCATACAGATCAAAAAATTTTTATTCTAGTCCTGTGAAAAATGTCATTGGCAACTTGGTAGGGATTGCATTGACTCTGTAGGTTGCCGTGGGAAGTACGGCCATTTTAACAGTACTGAGCCTTCCAATTCAAGAGTGCCGTGTGTCTCCCATCTGCTTGTGTTGTCTTCATTTTCTCTCATCGGTGTCTTATAGTTTCCACAATACAGTTACCTCCTTAGGTAGGTTTATTGCTCGGTGTTTTATTCTTTCTGATACAATGTCAGACTGGAGTCTTTCAACTGACCTATCTTCACATGTACTATCTTTCTCCTGACTCCTCAAATGTGCTGTTGAGCCCCTCCACTGAAGTTTTCAGCTCCAGACGTTCTTTTTGGTTCCTTTTTTTAAAAAACAAAATTTTTCTCTCTTTGTTGATATTCTTTATTTGGTGAGACATCATTCTCTCAGTTTCCCATAGTTCTTTTCCTGTGGTTCCCTTTAATTATTCAAGTGCACTGAGAGAGTGTGGCGACTTTGGACATCCGGTTTTCCCCCTTCCCTGTAGCTTGTTGTTGCTGATTGTTGTGGCATGTTGTTGTTGTTGTTTTATTCGACGATTCTTCTAAACTAGTTTTGTAATGACTGTAGTCTTTGTCATGTGTGGTCACTATTGCATTAGCTTAGCGCTCAGATAGTGATCTGACAGAGTTCCTTAAACACTGGAGCCAAAAAGCATTTTTTCCGGTCTTTGTCGCTGGGCTGTGTGTGTGTGAGGGAACGCCTTCAACCCTCAGCTAAGCACTTTCCAACTCTGCCTTCACCTCCACTTCCTGCTGGCTCAGACCTGGAAGTGGAGCCGGAGGTGAGTGCATAGGGACTTCTCAGATCCTTCTGGAGCACATGCCCCCTCATGAGTATGCACGAGGTCTCCTAGACGCCCAGGAATCTGTGGAAGATTTGAAAGCCCTGCTCCTCAAAGCATCTCACGTCCCAGCATTGTGTCTTCTGTTGGCCACAACTGATATCTTTCTGAGGAGCAATGACTGGTGGATTTGACAAACATTCTCCGTGTATTTGCCTCTCTGCCTTCAGAGAGTTCTGACTTACAAGAAATGAAGACAAGCCCTTAGTGTGAATCCTTCTAGAAGCCACCAGCAGGTCAGGACAACCACACTTCTTTCAGAACAAGGTCCACTCTGTTCCCTCCAGCTCCAGGAACCTCACCCGGACACAGGCTGCCACCTTCAAGACTGCTACTGAGCTGGGGACCAGGGTGGGGGGATGGGGTGGGGGCGAGCATCACCGAAATGCCGCAGAGCTCCTGCCGCACTGGCTCGTACCGGGATGCACTTGCTCTTTTCTGGATGAGGCATCCTCTTGGCTGTTGTCAACCTCTGACCATGTCCAGAGTTCAGATGAGGTTGACTGCAGGAGCCTCGCCAGTTTCTTCAGTGTTTCTGTGGGGAGCGGGGTGGCCCCTTAGAGCTCCCTGTTCCCTCGCTTTCCTGACATCATTCTTAGCAGGCACAATTTTGAAAAGTCCTTTTGAGGGCATTTATCAGTATCCTCCAGAATTTAAAATTGGTAAATATTCTGGCCTGGAAATCCCATGTCTAGAAATTTAGGCGCCGTGAGAACGTACACTAGTGCACACAGGTGCGTGGTGAGGACCCTCGCAGCGGCGGTGTTCGTGATAGTCATAAAGGAGACCTGGAATGCTTGTTCACTGGGGTAAGTAACTCCGTACTGGTGGCTCCACACTTTGGGATGCTCTGTGCCTAGGCAAAAGAAACCGGGATGAGATTTTTGTTTATCAAATTGTCAAAGATAGAAAACCGTGTGCCCCTCTGTTGTGAACTTACACTGCTGTTAAGGAGACCAGAACCTCTTGTGGGTGCTGTGGCGATCGGCACATTCCCATGGGCTGCACCCTCTGCTCAGCAGTCCCAGTTCCAGGATCTGCTCTCGGATTTGGTCAGAGTGTGTCACACTGCATCTGGCTACATCGAACAGCTGTGTTCCCGTGTCTCCTGTCTGAACATGTTCCCACACCCTTCTCAGCTTTGTCCACCCTGCCGCCTGGGGTCGCCCTTTCCCACCTGCTCTCCACCAGCCCAGCCCAGCAGGGGAGGCCGGGGGCTGCATCTCCTCTGCCTTTGGCCCCCCGCAGCTGGCACATGCTGGAGGACCAGGCACCTCAGTGTTGGTGAATGTGTGCGGGAGTCCAGGATGCCCGGCCATCTGCAAGGACTGTCTGGACGTGGGGCAAGCCAATTGCTGAGGTCTCCCCTGGTCCCCACCCCAGCACTGCTGGGTCCTGGCCAGGTGTCCCCCGGCACAGCCGCACCTGTGCCCCGGGAAGGAGCTGCCTCTACCACGGGCAGTACACGGGGGTTTGATCTGAGCCCAGTAGGTGCCCACAGGACTTGCCCGAGAACAGCCTTCTGGAGCCCTGCAGGCCCTGGAGTGACGGCCAGATGGCAGAACAAAGAGGTGGACAGGAGCTTCCAGGGGTCGTGTGCAAGCAGCACCCAAGTCCCCCAAGGCTGGTGACATAAAGGGCGCTCAGGCCTCACTCCCGCACTCCCACCCCATCAGCATGAAGAACTAGTGAGGGGAGCAGAGTTTTTATTTGAGCTCAGACACGGAGAGTAACACTGCCCGGGGTGGGACCCGGGTCAGGCAGGGCCCAGCGTGACCAGCGAGGGCCATGGTCCAGAGCGAGGAAGCAGGTGTGGAGCAGCCCGGGCTCCTGTGGGCCACGGTCAAGAAGGGGGTTCTGTGACCCTGTTGGCCCCCAGGTCTGGGCTGGGGGAGGTGGGAGCTGGTCTTTCCTCTGTGCTGAGCAAGACCTGGGTAGGATGGGCTGAGGACGCCAGGAGGTCAGGAGCTCCAAGGCACTGGCGGGGAGGGGGATCCCTGGAGCCCGGCTGGCCCTCAGGGGACGGGCCCGGTCAGCAGCAGGACTTCTAGGCCGAGTCGGGGACACAGCAGGCCGAGCGGGAGCACCTGGGGTGGCAGAGCAGGGACACGCAGGAGGCCGGGCGGCAACAGCTGGGCTGGCAGGAGGGGGCAGGGGCACAGCAGGCGGGTCTGCACACGGGGCGGCAGAGCAGGGACACGGAGGAGGAGGGTCTGCAGCAGGACGAGGGGCAGGGGGTGGGCTCACAGCACACGGGCCTGCAGCACACGGGCCTGCAGCACACAGGCCTGCAGCAGACAGGCGTGCAGCACACGGGCCTGCAGCACACGGGCCTGCAGCAGACAGGCCTGCAGCAGAGGGGTGCACAGCAGTCCTGCTGGCAGGGGGAGGAGGTGCAGCAGGAGGGCTGGCAGCTAGACTGCGGGCAGCACAAGGCCGTGCAGGAGCTGGTGCAGGCTGATGGGCAGGGGCAGGGCTCACAGCTCGCTGGGGCGCAGAGGAGGCTCAGGCAGGGGCCCGGGGTGCAGCAGTGGGGCTCGCAGTAGCTCTCCTGGCAATCGTCCACCTGCCGGGAGAAGCCAGTGCAGGCAGTGGGTGAGCAGACGCGGCTGCCACAGTTCGGGTCACTGGAACAGACAGACAGGGTGGATGCAGAGATAACGTAAGTCCTGGAGCAGCTGGCGTCAGCCATGGTGGGGCTTTGTGCCGGGAGGTGAGCTGGACGGGGCTGTGAGTGGTGAGTGGGTGGGTGAGGTGCCCTGGGCATGCGGGCTTTTATACCCCTCCCGGAGGAGCTGGGCCTCACCTGATTCTCAACAGCTCTTCCCCTTCCTTATTGTTGCTCAGAGCACCTTCCGCAACAATGCTTCCTCGTTTACTTACTGTGAGATGTTTGTAACACTGTCCTCTAGGCTTCTCATGGCTGGTGCCTGGAGGTTTGTTTGTGTCTTGAAAGCAGTGCTGAGATGCAGACTCTGGTGGTTGAATGGCTGATGAGTTGGGTGTAAAATCTCGGCTCTTCCTTCCATCTGTTTGCTTGTTCATCTTTGATGTGAATTCCAGTCTCAGGGTGTTTTGTCCCTGCAGGTGCTCCACAGGCATCTCAGTCCCTCCTGCCCTGAGCAATGGGTGTCTTGGCCCAAAGGAGTGCCCGCATCCCTGCTCCAGTGGAGGCTCTGGCAGGGTGTCCCCAGCTCCTCCCTGCATGCGTTTCTTCCAGTGTCCATTCCAGACACTGTTCTTAGTTCTCCTATTTATCTCGTAATTACTAAGTAGCATGCATGTTGCGTTAGTTTTGAGTTTTAGTTTTAGGTATGATTTGATTTCCTACTGTAGAAGAAAGCTTTTCTCTTGTTTTCCAGCAGCCCAAAGAGAAGGTTCCCTCTTCCCATCCTTAGAAGGCAGTGATACCCCAATATTTGGTTAAATCCATGTTCAGAATCTTTATTATTTTAATCAAGTGAGTTTATCTGTAGCCAAGTCTATGTAGTGAAACCAGATTTTATTTCTCTGTTTATACATGTTTCACTTTTGCCTGTGTTTTTCATTTCTTAGAGTTACAATTGCATCTTGTGTTTGTTTATTTTTCTGTGTACCTATCGATAAATCACCCTGAAGCTCTCTGACTGGTTCATTCCAAGCTCACTCAAGAGGCTCAGACCTACCAGGTGATCTACCATCTTTATTTGTTTTTTGGAAGCATCTGCCCTGGAGCCCTCTTTATTTGTGGGCTAATATCTATTGGGTGATCTTGGCCAGATGCACAGGTATCATTCAGGGAGTTCCCTTCATTCCTGTCTTTGGATTTCCCATCACCTCTCTCCTATCCTGGATCTATTATTTCCCAAAAGATGCGTCTTTTTCTTTGTGGGTTTACACCCTTATTTTGGTGGAGCACACCCTCCAGTAGCTTTCTGAAAATAGGTTCATGGAAGATAGATTTTTCTGAGCACCACAGAACTAAAAATGCCTTACCCTGCCCTTATACTTGATGGATGGTTTAGCTGGGGATAATCTTCTGGATTGGAAAAAAATTTCCCTCTGAATATTTTGTTGAGGCTGTAGAACATTCCAGAATTCTAAATGTTCCCTTGTGTGGTCTTTCAGTTGACCCACTTCCCCCAAGGAGGAGTCACAATTCCACCTTCTCTCCCCAATGATGAGTTTTGCCTACCCTTCAGTTTATGCCTTATTTTGCTCAGCAAAAAGGGCCATGTGCCTGCCCACATTGCAGTTCATTCTTTTTCTGTGATACAATCATTGGTTTAAATATTACTTAATGTTCTCTTTCTCAATGACAGAGATTTTGATTATTTCCAAATGTTGGCTAATGTTAATAATGCTGCTATAAAAATTCTTGTACATTTTGCTTTTGGTGGATATGTTCGCTAATTTCTCTTCATTGTATACCCAGGAGTGGAAATGCTGGGTCACATGAAAGGCATATGTTTGGTTTAGCATGTACTGCCCAACAACTTTCTAAAGAAAGTCACATCTCCACTAGTCAGTTTTACGCATTCCAATCCGGATCTCTGTATCCTTTATAAAGTGAGGTATTTGTATCCATTTTGGAAAGTGTGTGGGGATATCGTGCTGTTGCATTCATGTGCGTCCCCAGTGCAGTAAAGCCGCTTGTTGGACATTCAGATATCTTTTCTTGTGAGGTAGCTGTGCAAGTCATTTGCTCATTTTGTTTTTAACAGAGGTATTCATATTTCTTATTTTTTGTAGACATTTATTATACATTCTGAACATGAGTTGTCTGTTGTATCTATGCAGTGGCTTGCTGGTAACTGTTTAATAACTGGCTGTCTGTAAAACGAAAACAAGAAAGCCCTGACTGGTTGCACACACCAGCTTCTGTGGTGTGGACGTTCCCACCACCAGCACCAGTGCGGTGTGGCTGAGCGCGGAGCTGGGAGAGGCGAGGCGCAGCCAGCCCTCAGGAGCCGCCCTCGCAGCTGCGGCTCGACTGGGACAGGTGCATCATAAATCGCTCATCCAGGCCTGGGCTGTGTTCTTCATCCCCTCGATGGTGTCCATTTTACAAGCCAGCCTTATAGAGGTGTAGTTACATACTGTAAATCGTCCTTATTTAAAGTTTCCATTTGCTGAGTGTTGGGAAACGTGTACCCCTGTGAGGCCGCTTCCAGAAGCAAGGTACAGAACTTTCCCATCGCCCCCAAGGTTCCCATGTGCTCTTTCACAGTCAGTCCCATCCCCTCACAACCCCGAACCCAGGAAACTCCAGATCCCCTCTGTGTCTCGACAGCATTTGTCTTTCCTGGCGTCTCATGTAAACTGGATTAGGCAGCGTGAACCCTTTCGGTGCGGCGCTCCCCCTCAGGACGCTGAGGGAGATCCACGCACATGTGGCTCCACGCAGTGGCGGCGGGTCCTTTCTGCACCGAGGAGTAGCCCGCTGTGTACATACAGCACCACTGGTTTATCCATTTAGCTGCTGGGGCTCATACGGCTAGCAGGGAAAGGCAGCTCCTCTGAACAGTCGTGAGAAGCTCTTTGGCCGTGTGCTCCACTTCGCTGGATGACTAGCCCGGGGGCGGCCGGCCCACGCGGCGCGCGCTTGGGAGGCTGCCGGCCGGTTTCGGGGGGTTGTGCCATTTTACCCTCCCGCCTGCAGATCCCCGTGGGTCCAGTTCCTCCACGTCCTCGCTGACACGTGGCATCGTTAGCTTTTCAAATCTGAGTCACTCTAACGGGTGTGTTGTGTTCATGGTGTTTTTTGATGACTTGTTCTTAATTTTAATGAAGTCCAATTTATTGATTATTTTTTCTGTGTTTAGTGTTTTTTACATCCTGCTTCCAAAGTGTTTGCCCGCCTCCATGTCATGCAGACATTGCCCTGTGCGTTCCTCTCGATCTCCAGTTTCCCTTCCACGTTCAGCTCTGAGACCCACCTCCAGTTAGCGGTGTGAGCGAGCAGTCAAACGTCCTTCTTCCGCGCGCACATCGAGTTGTCCCGCGCCCTCGCTACACGCAAACCCGCAGTGACGCCGATTGCGAACCACGTGCCGTGTGGGCGCGGAGTCATCAGGCTCTTTCGGCCTATTTGCTGTTGCACCAACGTCTGGATCTGGTCCTTGCTGCCCCAGAAAGCGTTCCCCTAGCTTCTCAAGTTCTTCTGTGACCACAGGCTGTTCAAGCTTTTCATCTTTTCCTGCGCTGATTCCAGCGATGATCTTTTCCTGGAAAATTTCTCTCTTCATCTGAAAGTTTCAGTTGGGTTGACGTAAAGATGGCTCTTTTTCTCACAGTTTAAAAGTTTCTCTCTTCAGTCAATATTTATTTATCTCCTTTAGATCTGCCACGCTTTGAATTCTTGCACAGACCTTTTAAAAACAAATGTTTCCTTGTGTTGCCTGTACCTACGATTTCTTCCTTTGTTCTTAGGTCATTGGTTTTATTCATTTATTTCTTTCACTTTCTTTCAGAAGTTTTCCTCACTTTCTGAATTAAAATTGTACTTACTTTTACCCTTGATTCCTTTTTTACCGTATGTCTTTAAGGAGCTGACTGACTCCCTGAATGCTGCTTTACGCAAACTGCACACGCATTCGGAGCTGAAATACTTTCTTCATTTATTTCCAAAGAGTTTGTACTTGGGTTTCCGTGTCTTCAACTAGAGAGGCCACCTTTAAATTTTCCAAAGGAAGCATCTTTGCGTTTTCACAAGTCTATCTTACGGAACCTGGCTCAGGAACGTGGTCTGGGTAACATCTTTTCCACCTTTAGATAGTTTTTTAAATTATAAAACATTTCAGAAAGTTTAGAAAATAGCGTAATAAGTACTCATGCATCTACAAATCGGTGTAAACGAATCTCAGCGTTTTGCCACATGTGCGGAATGTCACAGGTGCCGCCGAGGTCCCCGTGTGCCCCCGTCCCATCCTCCGCCCTCCGTCGGGGTAGCCACCATTCCGAGGCTGGTGTTGCAGATGTTTTGGAGTTTAACAGAGGTGTTCACAGCCGTGAAGACAAAGGATCGCTGTATGTTTTGGCCTGTATATGTGTATTACTGCGTATGTATCAATCTGCATCAAGATTTTTTTTTCACTCCACGCTATGCTTTTGAGGTGCGTCCATGGGTGTGTTTCTCTGGTACAGCCGTTTAAACGCACCTTCCTTGCGGGTATAGGCTGTGGTTCAATTGTCCATTCTCCTACTGAGGGGCGCTTAGGTCATTTTTAATGCTGCTGTGAGATGGCCGGTGTGGGTTCATGTGCAGACAGGAGGACCCTGCCCTGGAGGCCGCCGGGGGAGGGTGGGCACAGGTGCCGCGTTCCCAGGTGTAACCCACCTGCTCTGAAAACCGGAAATCGCGCCTGCATCTGAGCGGGTCTTGTTTCCTGCGCTCCGGGCCGTGCTTGTCGTGGTCGGACTTGAGCACTTCAGCCAATCTGATTGGTAGTGGGGTCCCTGGGGCCTCCTCCAGTCTTGGTAATTCACTGTGTCTCCCACTACTCAGCCCAGAGAGTAAGTCAGCACAGGGAGAGTCGCGTGGGGAGAAGCCAGGGGACACGGGGCACAGGCTTCCTGAGCCCCACCCCCCACCCCAGGGGAGTCACAAGGAAGCACTGACCCACCAGCAGGGAGCTCGTGGGAGATCAGCGCCCAGGGCTTTCCTGGGGGCTGGTCACGTGGGCGCCCTCCGCCTGGCCCGCCCCCAAGTTCCAGACTCCCAGAGGGAGCGCAGCTGTCCATACTGTGTGTGCAGACAGTTTAGACCCGTGAGGCCCCTGTCACTCCACAGCGGGACCCTCCCCAAGTGCACGTTCCCAGATGCCCGAGGGTGGCCGTCCCAGGCCAGCCTTGCTCTTTCCTGCATGGGGCCAGGGTCTTCATCCTTCTGGAGTGGGGGAACTGGAGACCATCGGGGTTTGGGGGTCACCCCTGTAGGGCAGCTCCTTCCCAGGGCAGCACCACTGTTAGGCCACTCAGCCTTTGCATCCATGAAAACATGTGCTCCCCTTGGACATACACACATCCAGAGTGGTGGAGCAGCTCCTGGACACCACTGAAGGGGCAGGAACTCCAGGGCCCTTGGCAGTGACCCAGGCCCACTCTTACCTGGGGGAGGGTCAGGCAGGGGTCTTTGCTGTAAACAGCAGAAACGAACTCTGGTTTAATGGATCAGGAGAGAATTTATTGGAAAGGACTGACAGCTCACAGAGGAAGGAAAAAAAATTAAGAAAGCAGCTAGGAACCAGTGGAGGAGCCAGGGCCACGCCAGGGTCTAGGGGCCGCGAAGACAAACCACTTCCCACTATATGACTTCTTGTCCTTTACTCCACACCAGGGTCCCAGCCTGAGGGGGGCTGGCTGCCTCCCTGGGGTCATTGCCAACCCAGGCCAGGGGGGCGGCATGTGACCGGGGCTGGGGGGTGTCAATGCTTGAAGAAGTTAGTGTGCTATTTCCAGGACAAGAAATGCACAGTGAGTGGCCAGGTGACATAGTGTCCACTGCAGGGGAGTGCTCCACAGCTGTCCTGGCCCTGAGTAAGGATCCAGGGGTGCAGATGGTAGTGACCTCTCCAGCTTTGGGGTGACCTGAAGATCACTCAGTAGCAGGCGGTGTGGGAGCACCTGGGGCGGCAGAGCAGGGACACGCAGGAGGCCGGGCAGCAGCAGCTGGGCTGGCAGGAGGGGGCGGGGGCAC